TGGACCGCATTATGGTAGAGGTGTGCGAAACTTCTTAGACACGGAATTTTTCAACCGATAGATTGGAAGGAGAGGACAGATAGAGTGGCCACCACGTTCACCTGATTTATCACCGCTTGATTACTTCTTGTGGGGCTACCTGAAAGGCAAAGTGTATGCAACAAAACCAAGAAATTTAGAGGAACTTCGTCAAAGGATTATTGAAGAAGCTGCACTCATTGCTCCAGAATTCCTCAGAAATGCCATATCCAGTTTTTATGATCGAATAGCTCATTGTCAAACAGTAAATAGTACACAATTCAAGCATTTAATATAATTACTGGCAGCACCACCGGCCGATCTCGCCTTGACTGGCCGGATCACAGACCGATCTCGCCTCGACTGGCCGGATCATGTCTAAATCTTGCCTTGACTGGCTGGATCATGGTCATATCTTGCCTTGACTGGCTGATTCATACTCATATCTTGCCTTGACTGGTCGAACCACAAACCGATCTTGCCTTGACTGGCCGAATCACAGACCGATCTTGCCTTGACTAGCCGAATCACAGACCGATTTTGCCTCGATTGGCCGGATCACCGACCGATCTTACCTTCATTGGCTGCATTATTCTCCAATCTTTCTCCGAGCACAAAAGACATGTCAATCCGCCTGGGCAACCTCCGCGTGGTATTACATATCTTGGGTAATGCTAGTGCCGGCGATACTATAACTTTGAAGCATTATAACTTGAAAAGTACTTCATGAAAAAATATTTTATTATAGCGTTTTGGAAAACTCTCGACATCAGCTATTAGATTCTTGAATAAAAAATAGGGTGTTTCATTTAAGAAAATCAATGTAACCTTGACCTGACCTTGGCTACGCAACCCAAGGTTAAACTGATAGGATCAATAAATAGATATTTTTAAACCATATAACTTTTGTTTGAAACACTTTTCTGTAAAACTTATATTTCCCGAGATATTTGGGTGTCCCGACCTTTTTGGGACACCTTATGTCCCAAATATAGATCCCGTCTACCACCTGCGCTACTCAGACTTCACTCGAGAATATGAGTCTCTCGGCCACATGACTCGAATTCCGGAATCAGACATCAATTCTTCATCCGTGTTTTACTTACATCATCACAGAGTGTTAAGAGAGCAGAATCGTACTACGAAACTGCAAATAGTTTTTAACGACTCTAGCAAGCTCTGGTAACTCTCTTAACCTTTTAAAGGTGGGAGTGGTCGATATATCGACCAGCAGTCAGATTGGCGACTCTATATAAGAAATTCATTACATTTATAGCTAAATTTCGCGTAAAATAAAAAATCGATTTCAATTGAAATTCATTCCCGTCGTTAAAAGGTTAACGACAATCTTTCCAGGCGCTAACCTACAGGTAGAAATTTTCGATGTCTTGCTATGGATCCGTCTACACCGATGCATCATTCCGACCGATATCGTCAAAATGTACCGACAAATTCAATTACATTAAGGGCATCAGAATTTGCAACGCATATTGTGGCGAGAACCGGGTTAAAATTGCGAGTCTATCAGCTGACGACGGTGACCTATGGGCTAAATTGCACACTTATGCAAAGGATCGAGACAATTGTTAAAATTGTAGTTATCCGAAATGGAATCAAACAAAAAAATTCATGTGATCCCGTAGTTAGGATTTAATCTACCGATCAGGAAAAATGTTGCGAGAAATTTGCTAAGTATCTAGATATATCGTAACCTGCAACATTAGATCAAATAGAGGAACCCAGGAGGAGTGATAGGAAGAGAGAAAATGAGCACTGGAAGAAATTATCATCGCAAGGCCATGGAATGTGAGACTTTAGGAATGACAAAATCGGCAATGCTTGATTACGGAACCCTAGGTTCTTGAAACCCTAGGTTCTGACCGTCCCGATTCATTTATGCGTTAAAGTTAAGAACCAACACCTTTGGAACGCAGGTTGTACTTAATAGAGTTAGCCGGATCGAAAGTGTGACGATCCACAGAAATAATAGATCGTTACAATTATTATTATCTACACCGAACAACCGCGCAGAAAAATGCCGAACATCCGCGAGGTCAAGAAAACAGCTTCGCTGTTTATAGAATTCGTGTGTAAAAGCGAACGCTAAAACGCTATCGGGAGAGATCCGTCGGAGAGTTCCTCTGAGACGCTCAAACGAACAGAATACGTAACGAATCTTATCGCTTCCTAGACACTCCGTTGACCAAGTTGGATACGCAACATCGACATCCTTTACCTAACCCGTACTGTCGACCGAGGTGGATACGCGACGTCGACATCCTCTACCCAGACCGATCCGTCGACCGAGGTGGATTCGCGAAGTCGACATTGGCTACCTAGTACCACCTCCGTGCCGCTACCTTATCGTGGTGGAGGGGTATCGGCGATTCGATAAAAGCTCGGCGGCAGTACTTTTCGGCCTCGGCCGGAAGGGAGGCCCCTACCTGGCGAACGGCGGCAATGGGAAGGAAAATCCCCACAGAAAACCGGACCGCGGTGGGTCCTCTGGGAGAACGAGGGCCTTAGCTTAAACGCCTGGGTCGCGAGGATGGAGACCTCTATAAACCCCCCCCCCCC